TGTCCTATTCTGAACCCAATTAAAGGGACACAAGCCTGTATGACCTCACTTAATGGTTTGGTCATACACATCAGGTGAGAGCACAACTGGGGAAGGAGCACAGTATACATTTGTAAATTTGGTGGACTATTTTTTATATATTTTTTTTGTATATTTTTTTTTATATATTTTTATTTCTTTATTCTCATTTTTATTTTCCATTTTTTTTATATATCATAGAAGACACTATAGAATCACGGATTGTTTTAAGGATTCCTTTTGAGGACTATATGTGAAGATATGCATGCATTACTAGCGTGATTGATAATCTCACGTTATGGCAATATATTAGTAATCAGTTTATTGTTTTGCACTAATTCATACAAAGCAGTGTGCTTACAGTGTAAAGCACACACAACCCACATAGTAAAACAGCGCACAGTTAACCCTTTGCTCGCCCCACATGTTAACCCCTTCCTGCCCAGTGCCATTAGTACAGTGTCAGTGCTTTTTATTAGCACTGACCACTGTATTGGTGTCACTGGAGATGTCAGTAACACCAAGTCAGTTCCCCTCAATGTCAGAATGCCAGCTGCAGTCCAGCTAAAATTCACTGATCACCGTCATTACTAGTGAAAAAAAAAATATTTAAAAAAATTTCCAGTATATATACTGCCATTTGTAAACGCTATAACTTTCACATAAACCAATTATTTTCCACGTATTGGGATTTTGTTTTTAGCAAAGAAATGTAGCAGAATACAATTTGGCCTACATTTATGATTAAATTTGATTTTTTTTTTTTATTTTCACTGGATATGTTTAATAGCAAAAAGTAAAATATATCGGGTTTTTTTTTTCAAAATTATCGGTCTTTTTTTTTTGTTTATAGCGCAAAAAATAAAAATTGCACAGGCAATCAAATACCTCCAAAAGAAAGCTCTATTTGTAGGGAAAAAAAGGACGTACATTTCATTTGGGTGCAGCGTTGCATGACCGTGCCATTGTCAATTAAAATACTGCAAAAAATGGCCTGGTCAGGAAGGGGAGTAAATCTTCTGGAGGGCAAGTGGTTAAAGTGTAACTATAGATAAAGTAAAAAATGACTATATGATGCAGTCTGTTACTAGCATTAACCTAGCACTGTTTGTTTTTCTGAGCCTCCCATCTCTCACACTCTGCAACAAAAATGTCATTATTTGTGAGATACTCCCTAAGGGTTAATCACTTGTAAAAGGATGCAGGCACTGTAATTTTTTCATCAGAACACTGAAAGTGCACCAACTGATTAAAATGATTTAGTCCCTCCACTGGCTTTCACTAACCCAACGTATAAAATTCAAAATACTAACCGCAGCTTACAAAGCCATCCACAACACTGCCCCTAGCTACATCACCAACCTCATCCACAGATACTGCCCAAATCGCCCACTCCGCTCCTCCCATGATATCCTCCTCTCTAGCTCCCTCATCACCTCCTCCCACGCTCGCCTCCAGGACTTCTCCAGAGCCTCTCCCATCCTCTGGAACTCCCTACCACAGCATGTCCAGTCAGCCTCCACCCTGTCTGCTTTTAGGTGATCTTTGAAAACTCACTTCTCAGGAAAGCCTACCCTACCTTTACCTAAGAACTGTACTTAAATCACCTCCGCCAGATCATCCCCCGCAGCTATCACCTTTTGTATCACCTCCCCCTTCCTTTAGATTGTAAGCTCCAGGAGCAGGGCCCTCACATTCCTTCTGTACTGAAATGTATTGTAATTGTACTGTCTCCCTTATATTGTAAAGTGCTGCGCAAACTGTTGGCGCTATATAAATCCTGTATAATAATAATAATAATAATTTAGTCACCACCATTTAGAATCAGTATCCAAAGGGCAAACTGGCTTTTCTCTAGAGCAGAAAAAGGTAGGAATTTGCAACAAAGTTTAATACAATACTTGCAATGTACATTGATCACCCAGAGGGGATTGTTTTTTCTTCAACTATGGATTTTATGTGTAAATGGGCCCTTATGCTGGCCATACATTATACAATTTTCTTGAGATTTTTGGTTTAGAATTACCAAAAACCATATAATATGAGGTCAAACCTAACAAAAATTTCAATTGTATCCAATTAGGCAGGCTCTTGCACTACATACTGTAGTTGAAGGTAAATGTAAAGGAAATTGGGCAGAAGTTGGACAGAAAATTTTAAGAAAATTGTATAGTGTATGGCCAGCCTTATGCAGGCCATAGATGGTTCGAAAATCGGCTGATTTTTCTTTAAAAAAAACCAAAAAATCGGTCGTTCAAGCGGCCGACGTTACCAGCAACGGTAAAAAAAAATCGGCCGATTTTCATCCCGTCTACAGCCGGCAAAAAGTGTCCCTACAGAGAGCTCCGCTATTTCTTTGACAGTCCCTTGACATTTATAGCGGTTGCAACAATGTATTTGTATCAATTTAGGATACAGATGTTTTTATTCGGAAACAAATAGATACATTGTTGCAACCTCTATAAATGTCAAGGAACTGTCAAAGAAATAGCGGAGCTCTCTGCAGGGACACTTTTTGCCGGATTGGAATTCCTCTTCTTCATCCTCTTCTTCTTCTTCATCCTCTCTTCTTCATCTTCTTCATCCTCTTCTTCCTCTTCTTCATCTTCCTCTTCTTCATCCTCTTCTTCTTCTTTTTCATCCTCTACTTCTTCTTCTTCTGCTTCTTCTACTTTTTCTTCTTCTTCATCCTCTTTTTCTTCTGCTTCTTCATCCTCTTCTTCATCCTCTTCTTCTTCTTCATCCTTTTCTTCTTCATCCTCTTCTTCATCCTGTTCTTCATCCTGTTCTTCATCCTCTTCTTCATCCTCTTCTTCATCCTCTTCTTCATCCTCTTCTTCTTCCTCTTCTGCTTCCTCTTCTTCATCCTCTTCTTCTTCTTACTTTTTCTTCTTCTCTTCTTCTTCCTCTTCTTCATCCTCTTCTTCATCCTCTTCTTCTTCATCCTCTTCTTCTTCCTCTTCTTCATCCTCTTCTTCATCTTCTTCCTCTTCTTCTTCCTCTTCTTCATCCTCTTCTTCATCCTCTTCTTCTTCCTCTTCTTCTTCCTCTTCTTCATCCTCTTCTTCTACTTTCTCCTCTTCTTCTATTTCCTATTCTTCTTCCTCCTCTTCTTCTTCTTCCTCTTCTTCATCCTCTTCTTCTTCTTCATCATCCTCTTCTTCCTCTTCTTCTTCCTGTTCTTCTCCTCTTCTTCCTCTTCTTCTTCTTCTTCATCCTCTTCTTCCTCTTCTTCATCTTCTTCATCCTCTTCTTCATCCTCTTCTTCTTTTTTCTTCTTCTTTTTGTCTTCCTCTTGCAGGTCACTGCTCATGCGCAGATTTTTTTATTGGTAAAAAGATCGGCCGATTTGGCCATCATTGCCGCGAAAATCGGCCGATCGGCAAAATCGGCCGATTTTTTTCCAACTTTACCGATAAAAAAAATCTGCCAAAGTACCGAAAAACGGCTGAACAATTAGCCCACTAACGATCCGAAAATCGGCCGATTTTATTTTCGGCCGAAAAATCGGCCGATTTTCGACCCATCTATGGCCTGCATTATTCAGAACAATAAATACTAACCAATTAACGATTATCACTTACCAATTAACGATTATCACTTACCAATTGTTATTATGTGTTCCTAAAAACAAGGAGCTACACACATTGCTCTTTGCAAACAAATATTATCAAGGATAAACATTTGAAATCTTGGAAACTTAATGGATTTAGTTATGGTAGCTTAATGAGGTTAAAACGCCTTTGTATTTCTCAATGTGTACTTGTATGAATACATTTTATAGGAAAAGCTTTGCTTCGCTCTGTCTGTGGACACTGCAAATGCAGCACATTGTGCAGAATCATGTGGGCGATTGTGATGAGTTCTCGCCCTTTTCTATAGTTCTTCCATTGCTGTGCATCACCTGCAAACAAATTAATGATGATTCAGCTGCAACAAACGAAATACATTGTAATGGCAGCAGACATTTTCCCTTAATGTTTAAAATTCTCTTCCTGACACAAGGTGACCTTTCCAAATGCGCCAGGAAATTTCCTTTATGGTTTAAAATCTGTGCTTTTCACTTCTGCCAATATAAGTGCATCTAGCTAAGTTGCTGAAAATGTCCTATAATAATAAATCCAAGTGAACAACAAACCCACTTATAAAAACAGAAGTAACAACATGTCTGTGCTGCTGTGCAAACTAGTGGATCGAGACTGGGCTCAGGTAAGTATAGGGGGGCTGGGGGGTAGCTGATTGCAGAAGGTTTTTACCTTAATGCAGGGAATGCATTAAGGTAAGAAAAAACTTCCTGCCTTTACAACCACTTAAAACAATTTCAATTCCCAACACAGCAGTATATCCATTTTTCCCAGCCTTGTAAAATCTGGAACTTATACAGGCTTTTTCTTCTTATCACTGAATGCCAAAACAAAGTGGCAAGGATGCAAAGGAAAAAAATAGTATGTGCTGCTGGGAGGGGTATTTGCTGCCTATCAATGAAGGGAACTTTACATTGGACCACTGCACCTGTTATGAGAAGAATGCTTCATAAAAAAATGTATTTATGTTCATGTATTTCTTCATTTTGAAAGAAACCTATACTGAGAGGACATAAATGCTATTTTTAAAATGTTACTAAACCCACAACAGTAAAATCAGTCTGTATGTACAGTAAAGCATGCTTGTTATACTCACTGTGGAACCTAAGGGGTTAATCATCTGCATTGTGTAAAAAGGATGTTTGACCCTGATTTCTCTGATCCTCCCCTTCTTCCACGTTTCCCATTTCATCTCCTGATAGAACACAGCCTCAGGGACACTCTGCACATGCTCGGTTTGGTGCGTACTGGTAGAGAGTTTTTCTTTTTCTGTGCATGTGATCAGCACAGGGCCAATCAGCACTGCCCAGACAGAGGGTCAGGGATTATGCAATCTCATAGAGTGGTGAGAGGAGAATACAAACTCCTCCTACCAGCTTTAACCAGTGCTGGACACAGATAGAAGTCACAAGACTGCTATATACTGCTGATGAGAAAATGTATTTAGCCATTTATATTTACTAAAATAATTGCATTTCCATGTTCTATGTACTGTGGGGGACCAGATATAGTGAACGCAGGGTCCTGGGTTTAATAACACTTTAAAGCGGAGTTCCAGCTGAAAAGAAAAAAAAAACTGTAGCTGCTGACTTTTAAAATACAGCCACTTACCTGTCCCTCGGTCCAGCTGTGTCCTCACCACCGCTGGTTTCACCGGCCGTCTTCTCTACCAGGCGCCGACATCTTTAGTGTGGGCACCCAGATTCACAGCCGGGTGCCCACTGTGCATGCGCGAGAAGTGCTGCGCTGTGTGAATGGACCCGTAGCCTTCTAGAACCTGTCACGTGTCCCAATAGGCTACAGGGAGGGAGGGTAGGAGGACAACTTCCACTTCCAATCGTCTAGGCGATCGCAGCAGAAGTGGGAGCAGGTACCTGTCAAATTCGGGTACCCACTCCCCCCCCCCCCCCGATCCCCAAAGGTGTGAATCCTTAATGGGGAGCGGGGGACAAAGCATTAAAGCGGAACTTCCTCTTTTGGGTGAAACTCCGCTTTAACTTTATTTATTTCAGGCTGTCATGCTGTTCCAATTACTTTCTGGGGTACTAGTCTGAAACAAGAATACAGTTTAGGTGTTCTAACTTGCCTGCCTTCTCTAGCTGCATGCTTATATTGGGTTTGTAAATCAGTAATGAAGTATACCTAAAATAAAATTACAAAGTTACCCAAATACAAAAACACAAGTTGCCTGAGACAGCCAGGCAACTTGTATTTTTAGATGGAGAAAATATTGTCAGCCTCCTTATTTCCCACAGCACAGATTTCCTTTGAAACATATTTGGAAAACAGAAAACTTTTACAACTCTCATGTCAAGGACAAAAAAAAATCACAATGCCAAATTGATTTAAAAAAAAGTGATGTAGCAGGTGCAGGGTATTACAGCAAAATGCTAGAACATTTCTTTTTGCACGGTATTTTACTTGATAGATAGAAATACAAACACTGCAGGTAACTTACTAACTCTGGTACAGGACTGTTCCTTGAGGTCAAGCAGAAAGGCGGTGAGAAATGTAGGATTTATGTTCAACTTTATGAACAAAGGACTGCACAGTGGATATAGTGGAAGCTTTGGCACAATAGAAGTATAGACATAAGGTGCAGAATATTAAACCTAAGAAAAAAAAAACAAGTCACAGACTGCAGACTCAACAACAAAGAAATATTGCTGGAGTATGTGTCTCTGCACGTTTCAATGTAGATTATTTTATTATTTTTCAATAGCAAGATAAATAATCGTACATATCACGACTAGTCTACCACTGAATGATATGCATGAATATGGTCTGAAATGAAGTGAAAATTTAAAATTCACAAAATGTAATGATTTAATCATAAATGAGAACTCTGAATTTTTGGATGTCCATATATATATATATATATATATATATACACACGCACACACTATATTGTCAAAGGTATCGGCACACCTGCCTTTACACTCACATGAACTTTAATGGCATCCCAGTCTTAGTCTGTAGGGTTCAATATTGAGTTGGCCCAACCTTTGCAGCTATAACCACTTCAACTCTTCTGGGAAGGCTGTCCAGAAGGTATAGGAGTGTGTCTATGAGAATGTTTGACCATTCTTCCAGAAGCGCATTTGTGAGGTCAGGCACTGATGTTGGACAAAAAGGTCTGGCTTGCAGTCTCCACTCTAATTCATCCCATAGGTATTCTGTCAGGTTGAAGTCAGGACTCTGTGGAGATCAGTCAAGTTCCTCCACCCTAAACTTGCTCATCTATGTCTTTATGAACCTTGCTTTGTGCAATGATGCGTAGTCATGTTGGAACAGGAAGGGGTCATCCCCAAACTGTTCCCACAAAGTTGGGAGTATGAAATTGTCCAAAATGTCTTGGTATGCTGAGGCCTTAAAAGTTCCCGTCACTGGAACTAAGCGGCCAAGCCCAACCCCTGAAAAACAACCCCACACCATAATCCCCCCTCCACCAAACATTACACTTGGCATAGTGCAGTCAGGCAAGTACCGTTCTCCTGGCAATTGCCAAACCCAGACATGTCCATTTTATTTCCGGACAGAGAAGCATGATTTGGCACCCAGAGAACACATCTCTACTGCTCTAGAGTTCAGGGGCAGCATGTTTTACACCAATGCATCCGATGCTTTTCATTGCACTTGGTGATGTAAGGCTTGGATGCAGCTGCTCAGCCATGGAAACCCATTCCATGAAGCTCTCTACGCACTGTTGTTGTGCTAATCTGAAGGCCACATGAAGTTTTGAGGTCTTTAGCTATTGACTCTGCAGACAGTTTATGACTTCTGTGCACTTCAGCATGTGCTGACCCCACTCTGTCATTGTATGCGGCCTACAACTTCATGGCTGAGTTTCTGTGCTAGTAGTGTTAATACTTTGTTTTATCAATTAACAAATGGAAAGTAAATGAACAGAAGCATAATCTTCCTGTAGGTATGCTTGTACAAAGTTTTTGAAGGAACTCAGCACACTCGATGTTGAGATCAGGGCTCTGTGGGGGCCAAACCATCACTTCCAGGACTCCTTGTTTTTCTTTACTCTGAATGACATTGGCTGTATGTCTGGGGTTGTTGATCTGCTGCAGAATAAATTTGGGTCCAATCACATGCCTCCCTGATGGTATGGCATGATGGATAAGTATCTGCCTGTATTTCTCAGCATTGAGGACACCATCAATCCTCACCAAATCTCCAACTCCATTTGCAGAAATGCAGACCCTAACTTACAACAAACCTCCACCATGCTTCATTGTTTCCTGCAGATACACATTATCGTACCACTCCCCAGCCCTTTGGCGAACAGACTTTCCTCCTGCTACATCCAAATATTTCAAATTTTGACTCATCAGTCCAGAGCACCTGCTGTAATTTTTTGGTACCTCAGTTCCTATCTTTTATGGATATTCAACTCGCTTCGCCTTGTTTCCACATTGCAGGTAAGGTTTTTTGGCCACAATTCTTTCATGAAGACCACTTCTGGTCAGACGTCTCCAGACAGTAGATGGGTGTACCTGAGTCCGACTGGTTTCCACAAGTTTTGTGCTGATGGCACTGCTGGACATCTTCTGAATGTCGAAGGGAAATAAGCATGATGTGTCTTTCAATTGCTGCATTGTTTTCTTGGCCGACCACTGAGCCTACAGTCTTCAACACTGCCCATTTTTTTGTGCTTCGTCTTGAAGCACATCTTGAAACACTTGTCTGCTTTGAAATCTTCACCTGGAAGAGACCTTGCTGATCTAGTATAACTACCATGTGTCTTGCTGCTGTGTTCGGTCTTGCCATGGTGTATGAGCTGTGATATGAAACTGTCTTCCACAAGCTCACCATAGTAGCCGAGTTTGGCTGTTCCTCACTCAGTGTTAAGCCTCCTACACAGCTGATTCTGTTTCAGTTAATGGCTGTGTTTCTTTTTTTTACAATTTAAATATTTATTAATTTTTCAGATAAACACGTTATACAAACATACTCATTAAAACCTTAGCATATTATCAAAACATTTATCGTTTCATCCCTTCCCTCCCCCTACCTATATATGACCCATCCAATCCCTGACCCCTTCTGCTCTGCATTTTCCTATTCATTTCTGGAGATCATAATCAATACAAAAGAAGATAAAATATGTTTCCATATTATTTTATGTTAATCCCCCATAACCTCTAAGGCTAGCCTTGACTTTTTGAATTCCTTCCATTTGTTCCATCTTGTATGGTGACTCTCCATCTTACCTTCATTCAAATGATAAAGTTCTTACAATGTACATACTTGATCCACCCTATCCACCCAGTCCTTTATTTTTGGCACCTCCTGTCTCCTCCAATACTTGGGTATCAGTCCCTTTGCTGCATTCAAATAGTACAATAAACCAGATTCTTTGTATTTTTTAACTGAAAGCTTAGTACTATGACAAAGGCAAATCTCTGGGTCTAGTAGAATAGCAACCTCTGTAATTTTCTGAATCAAGCTTGCTATTTTCCCCCAATACTCTTGTATTTTAAAACACTCTCTCATCATATGTGATACATTGTGCCTCTACCTCTACATCCACACCAAAATAAAGGTGAATTATCTCCACTCAATCTGTGTGCCACACTCAGGTGTCCATTTATGAACCAGCGGTAATAGATCGCTGCTCAGTTCTCCGGCATTCTCGGAGAACACAGTTCTGTGAATGCAGTTTATGAAGCAGTTCTCCAAACGAAGGGAGAACGATCTCCAAACGCTGGAGAACGGTCTACAAACTCTGGAAAACGGCTCATTTTACTATAATCTCGCGAGATTACAGTAAAAGATCAGTTTACTAAGCAGAGGTAAATTATCTCTGCTTAGTTTGCGGTCCCTCTGATTCTCCAGCTCTGGACTGGAGAATCTGGAGGGAGAACACAGATCTCCAGCGAAGGGCTGACATGATCTCCTGAGTGTCATAAACTGTGAATGACCAGAGAATAGCTGAGATCCCTTGAATCGCAGCTATTCTCTGTGTCATAAAAGGACACCTCAGTGTGATATACCATTGTGCCAAACACTTATAATTCATTTCTACCTCCTGCATATTTATGTTTCCGTGAATTATTCTATACATTTTCCTCTGTTTTTTCCGCATCTATTGTTACTCCTGTTTCTCTTTCCCATTTTTCTATATATGGAGGACTTATATCTGCATTTATTTCAGTGAAAATCTTATATATTTTAGAGGTTCCGTGTTTCCCATCTCCCCGTGTGCCTAATAAGTGCTCAAAAGGATGGCTGTGTTTCAACCTACTTGTGAAATTCATGATCATTAGCATCTGCTTGGTATAATTGGTTAATCATACACCTGATTCTAATCCTGCAAAATCACTGATTTTCTGCAAGTGTACAAAGTGTGCAAGTGTAAAAATTGATGCTGGTTTGAAGCCAGAGGGTAGTCACGCTAAATATTGATTTGATTTAGATATTTCTTCTGCTCGCTCACTTTGCTTTTTGTAAATTCATAAAAATAAACAATTAAAATATACATTTTTGAAAACATTCTTACTTTACAGCATTTCTTCA